ATATATATATTTTTTATATATATATATATATATATATATATATATATATATATAATATATATGTCTAATAATAGAAGGACAGAAAGTAATTAATGTTTTGTAAATTGTTCAAATATTGATGTCTGTGATGCTTGAAGTCCAGAGAATGTTGTGTACTCGAGGTTGCCAGATATTGGAAAACTGTGTATTTAATTTCAGTCATGACAGCTCTTAATGCATGGGGAAATAAAAATACACAGGAGGTGGTTTTTACTTAGCAAATAATACAAATATTACAAATGTAAACATTAGCTTAGCAGCTTACAGTGTACGGCTCAAATGGCTGGATCTTAATGCACGATTCTGTTTATGTCGTCAATCTGGCAACCCGAGTATGTTTGTGTTGGGGCCAGGTGAAAAAAAACTCTCCAATGTTTTGAATTTGCACTTCATTACGAAGGTCAATTGTACATACTGCAACTTAACCAATTATATTTCAGCTTTCCGCAATGCCAGATCCTGGAAAACTGCATATTTCCTTTTCATTTCAGTCATGAAGGCTCTCAATGTATGAGGAAAATAAAAATGTGCATGAGGAGATTTTTAATTTGCAAAATATACAAATATTACAAATGTAAACATTAGCTGTGCAGCTCACACTGTAAGGCTCGATCTTCTAGCACACTTCTTTTTTTACTGTCAATCTGGCAACCTGAGTCTGTGTGTATATGTGTGTGTTTGGAGGTGAATTAAAAAACTCAATGTTTTGAATTTGCACTGCAATATGTAGATCAGTCCTACATACTGCACCTTAACCAATTATATTTCAGCCCTCCAGGTTGCCAGATAGTGGAAGACTGGGTATTTCATTTCTGTCATGAAGGCTCTCAGTGTATGCTGAAAATAAAAATACGCATGAGGTGGTTTTTACTTAGCAAATAATACAAATATTTTACGAATGTAAACATTTGTTGAGCAGCTTACAGTGTACGGCTCAATCTTCAGGCACACTTCTGTTTGTCGTCAATCTGGCAACCTGAATAAAACTCCTCAATGTTTCAAAGTTGCATTCCAAAATCTTGCATATTGTGTCTTAAATATCGTCTTTTGGCTCCACATCTTTTGTTTTCCTCCTGGAAACACACTGCTGGATGAATATTCAGTGTTTCTCATGTTTTTCTGTAAGCTTTTAATCTTCACCGGAGATGATGGATGTTCTGTGAGCTCTGTTTATGGATTTATTAATCAATCTGTGCGCTCTAATCACACCCTAAAATCTGCCAAATGAGAGTTAAAGTAAGTGTTGGCGAGAGTACACTGCTGTTTCTCCAGCAGATGGAGATGATGCTGTATATGTGTGCTGCTGTGTTCATGCACATGTGAGCTGCTCATCATTAGTGTTTCAGTTTCTCTGAACACCAGCCAGATTTCTCATCAGAATTATTCATATTCACGCAACATTATTTAGAATTATTTATTAATATATTCACTACCTGAAGAACTTTCATCCCAATTATCACCAATACTGCAGAAGACCTACTGGAACCAGCATGGACCAAGATTCTCACAGAAATCAGTCAAGTTTGGTGAGGGAGAAATCATGGTTTGGGGGTCATTCAGTATGGGGGTGTGTGAGAGATCTGCAACATCAACAGCCTGAGGTATCAAGACATCTGTGCTGCCCATTACATTACAAACCACAGGAGAGGGACAATTCTCCAGCAGGATAGCGCTCCTGCTCATACTTCAGCCTCCACATCAAAGCTCCTGAAAGCAGAGGTCAGGATTGGCCAGCCCAGTCACCAGACATCAACATTATTGAGCTGATGAAGGAGGAGGTGTTGAAGATGAACACAAAGACTCTTGATGAACTCTGGGATCCTGCTGAAGCTTTCTTCTTCATTCCAGATGACTTTATTAATCAGTGATGTGAGTCATGTCAGAGATGGATGGATGCAGTCCTCCAAGCTCATGATGGAGTCAGACACAATCTTCATTCTGTCTCCACTGCAGCAGGACTTTATATTCTATACTGGACATTATTTCTGTTCAGTGATGAGACTTTAGTCTGAGCAGAGTCAGAGCGCACTGTCCTCATCAAATCAGTCAACATCAAGACATGATCAGATTTATTGAGCTCAAATCAGCAAAATCTAGAGGCCTTCACCTTTCATAGAGACACTTCTGACACCAGATCAGCAACTAGAAGAGCAGATATTATCTGTGTTCCTAAAACATGGATAGACTAGTGTCAGGTAGTGTATATGTTGCTCAGCATAAATGAGTACACCCCATTTTTGAAAATATTTCTTATGCATTTCTCAGTGTGTATAAGCAATATATTTTAGTGGAGTTTTATTAAATGGTTATATCTATTAAAATGAGAGTCTGGTCACTAAACATCTTTAGGGAACAGAAAAATAATACATTTACATTCAAAACAGCTATTGCAAAATAAATGCAAACAACATAAATTTAACAAAGTTTTATATTTTTTATTTTTCTCTATATTTTTGTGTATATTAATATTACATTTAATGTTTTCCCCAACATATTAATGTGTGTAGTAATGTTTGGACTGTGATCTTCAGTGTTTTGTTAGATGAGTTGATCAGTTTTATCTTTGGTTCTGACTAATCTAATGTATAATGGACAAATATATCACTGTAAAGCATCCTGAAGGGAATATTAAGAAAACAGTGTTAAAATATAAATAATCTATTATTATTATTATTATTATTTAAGTAATCATAACAAGCTTTTATTAGTCATCGTTTAATATTAACTACTGCTTTATTAAAAGGCAAAGTTGTGGACTGATAGTAAACAAGAACTAACAATGAATGATTTATTGATTAAATCCTAAACACTGTAATGTTCATTATTTGTTCATGCGTTAACATTTAACTAATGCAATTTTAAAGTAATAATGCACACACGGTTTGATTGCTGGTAATATTATAATTTATTTTTCCGCTAACACACACAGGGAAAACTCCAATGCACTGATGTCGGATAAAGACAAAGAGCTGGAGATGCTGCGAAACGAGGTACGTCTAATTAAACCTGTGCATTACTCTCATCCACTGTGATGAATGCTGTCTGTAGATTGGCTTCATACTGAACATATTATTGTTCTGTTTTCTAGTACTGTTGGTGATTTAAGGGCTCTTGTTATGCAGACATTACTTTTATCAGGGGTTTAAATGCAGTGTGTGAATGCTGAAACACTTTGATTGACATTCTCCCTTTGTACGTGTCATCAGAGGGGGAAAGCCCCGCCCACTAGTGCCCATCTCTCCATCTCACATTAGCATAAACAGCAGTCCTGAGTGAGAAGCAGCCGTCTGTCCATTAGCCATTAGAGTGTTTGAGCTGCTGAAGATCATGTCAGCATAGACTAAGAGGATTATAGATGTGGAGTTCTAGATGAACAGCGACAGGAGCCACATAGACTGACAGAAGCATCAAGCACACACTCACACTGAAGCACACACACACAAACACCTGACCATCTCACAACACACACACTGCTGTTTTACATCCGTCACTGTGCTAACGCACAACCATCTGTAGCTCCGCCCTCTTTTAAATCTAAAGCAACAGTCACCAAAAAGGATGAAAGCCTGAAAGGGTCAGTTTCAGAGAGCTGGAGAACATCATCTGTGTGCTATTTTCAGCTCAGCCTTCACTACACACACACAAACACTCATCAGAGACTTATTTTACATCTTGTATAATAGATCACCTTTAATATTGTTGTATGATGATGAGTATAAACATGTTGTCGTCTCAGATTGCGGCGCTGCGTGGAGAAAACGCCATGACCAAGACTCTTAAATCAGCCGTAACGTCACTAGAAGAGGATAAAGCAGAGCTGCTGGAGCGAGTGAACAGTCTGGAGCAGAAGCTGGAGCTCCGACACACACACAGCGGACAGCAGAGCAGCACAGGTCTGATTAAACACACACACACACACACACACACCTTATCATCGTACTGTATGCTGCAGGGCTGCTGAACACTGCACTCTGATTGGCTGCTGGTCACTCTCAGGTGTTTGGTTATTGTCAGATAAAGGCACAGCTAAAGTAGTTCCGGCAGGTTTAGAGCGCATTACAGCTCATTATCACTCCGCTGAATGATGAGAGTTATTACACAGCTACAGCAGTCAGAATCATAGCAGAACACAACAGGAGGACAATCTCAGACAGATTGAAGCTAAACTGAAGTGTGTGTGTGTGTGTGTGTGTGTGTGTGTGTGTGTGTTGCAGAAGACACAACTGTTGAGCAGCTGAGAGAAGAAAAGGAGTTTGCTGAAGGACAGGTGAGTCTTGTGTGTGTGTGTGTGCGTGCGTGCGTGCGTGCGTGTGTGTGTGTGCGCTAATGCAGTGTGTAACTCATCTGCACTCCTCTGCGTTCTCCTGCATAAATCAGATCAACTTCCTGAACTCCGTCATCGTGGATCTGCAGAGGAAGAACGAGGAGCTGAAGGTGAAGCTGAAGAAGATGGCGCTGACCGAGTTTAACGGGAACGAGGACAATGACGGGTGAGTTAGCTAACGGCAGCATTATCGTTTGTATTGATATTTTAAATGATTATTTGTTATTTTCCAGGATTATCCATCTTTCAGATAGTCAGTCAATGTGCTGTTTGTGTTGTTTTCCATCTTTTTCTGTACAGTTTTCTGCATTTATAAATAAATTAAATCTGCAAAAAAACAATTCTGTAAAAACTTGAACCTAATCAAGACTAAGCCAAGACTTACATGATTGACAGTTTCAACATATTAATGTAAACTTTACACATTAATATTCAATAACCAAAAAATCTAATAATAGTAATAATAATGATAATACTGTATTACTATTATTTTTATTGTAATTTTTTATTTAAATTATTAATATTATTATTAAGTGTTATTATTATTATTATTATTATATGATATTAATAATTATATTAAGGTAATAATAAATCTAACTGAAGATTTAAAAATACATGTAGATACTT